CTAACAGTCCTCATTTTTCAAGATACCACTCAGAGTTTGAGAACATCATCGCTTTTAGGTTCAGAACTCACAAAAAAACTAACTTTTGGTTGCCAAAGTTGTCTGTTTAGAAAGTTCGCACTTTACACGAAAGTTCATTTTAAGGTGATATATATGAACATGAAGTAAATTTAAAAATTTGTGCACGTTTTCTGTAAACTATATGTAGTAGCAATCCTTTCGATATTCCCTGCATACTATTTACAACTTACTTCGGACCTCTCGAACACGCATTTTTGAACTCACATCATGAATTTTGATCACAAAAACTACTGAATCTAGGGTCGAAGTTGGATTCGAAGTTTTTGAGGTAGACTCAAAGCTCAAGTGGAAGTGCTCGATAATACAAAGTGCACGTGATCCACCCAAATGTTCAAGAGTCAGGAAAGAACTGAAGTTCGGAGTGTACCACTTGAAAATAAGAGGCAATGCCACATGCAGCACATATGAAGAAGTATCAAGTGACGGTCTTTTGAGAGAGTTCCTAGTAGTTCTCCCTATTAACAGTGCTGGATGGCCTTATGAGGTATTGTGTAGTACGTAAGAATCATGACATATGACTTACAGGAAAATAGTAACGTAGGCGAAAAGAAATCATAGAGTCGAGTACACTATTTGTACTCAAAAGTCTACACGTCTTCGTGTGAGAAAAATGCGCTCGTCAAATTATGCAACCATATTTTCAAAAAACGATCGATAACTGAGCTCTGAAAATTTTATCATTAAAATATGTGTGAGGTTGCAATGAACGCTAAAGGTCAGACCCTTTATCTTTCTTATTTTTTGGATACGCCAAGCTATAGAACACTCATAGTTTGTGACAAAAATTCGTCGGGATAATACACGTGTTTGTTTGATTACGCTTAGTAACTTTCAATTACCACATTGTGCTTTGGAGCAGCATGTATAAGATTTAACTATGGCACAATTTTTTACCTATCACAGCTGAATGTCATCTACATATTAGGTGAGCAGAGTTGTACGTACCCCAATTTCAATCCCGCACATGTGCTATACAAAAACTTTCTAGAACAATTTCAAATTTTGAATGGCGG